TCGAACCCAAAAGCCATCATCAACTTCGAGTCTTTGATCTACTGAAATCCAAACCCTTTTGGCGAAAGATCAAGAATCGTACATGGCGGTGATGTATAGTAGAGATAACGGTGACATTGTGCCATGGCAGAAAGATTTGTATCTTCTCTCTATTTTCAATATTTACTTCATTCTTTCTAGTGTGTGTGAGAAAGAGTTTGTTATCTCTGAGATTTGTATAATATGCTACTGTGATTGTGTTATGTTGCATATATGTATGTTTTTGTGATTTGTGTGAGAAATGAAGGGACAAAAGCTATGGAATTGAAGCAATGAATGGAAGATTAGCCGACCAAAAACTGCCCGCTAAACCGAGCACCCGATGTGTACGGTTTCGAGCAATATTTGAGTCGAAATCGGATGACCACTTCTGTAAACCGACAAGGTCGGTTCGAGTAACGGTTCAGTGGTAAAACCGACTCGACTCGACCCATGAACAACCCTAGTGACTACATTTGGTAGACGTGGCAAATGAGTGGTATAATACTCTAAGACAAACCAATTATACATTGAACTTACTTGAATGAATCAATAGTCACTAGACTACAAACATTACCAAATTGTCTTAATTATAATACCCCAAGTATAGGAGTGTAAAAATAGCCCGCGGCTCATGAGCGGCCTGAAGCCTGCCTATGGCCTGAGGTGGGCTCGGCCTGAGCCTTTGAGCCTGTGCCATCATTTTGAAACTCGGTCTATCGGCCCACTTAAGGCCTACTAAAGGCTTGACTCAGCCCGCCCAAGGCCCAGTCTCTTCTTTAGTGGAAAATAACTTTTTTTTTTTCAAAAAAAAAAAAAAACAAAAAAAACAAAAAAAACAATATCAGTAGGGTAGTGCTGGGTCAAGTTGGGTTAGCTATGGATGATAGTTAGCAATTGGACAAGATCGAAAAAAAAAAAAATTTAAATTAAATTAAAAAAATAAATAATAAAATAAATAATTGAAAGACCAAATTATAATTTTTTTTTAAAAAAAATGGGTAAAAGTGCTAAAGAGAGGACTGGGCCATGCATTAGGGTAAAAATGTAATTCAGTGCTATTTTATTTTTGGCCAAAACTCCGCCATTTTTTTTAATAAAATAAGATTGAATTTTCAATTAAAAAAAAATTGATATCGGCCTGTTTAGTTTGTATTTTTGAAATAACTTTGAAAAATAATTTTGTGGAAAGAGTTTATAAAATTTTAAACTTTATTTAGTTGTATATTTTGAAAATAGCTTTTGAGTTTTAAATTTAGGATGATTTCATTTATTTATTTATTTTTAGAGTTGAATAGATGAGTATGAGAGAAAAAGTGATTGATTGATATATATGATGTGAGAGAAAGGATACATGAGAGAGAAAAAGTAATAACAATATGTAATAGAGAAAAAAGTGAATTTTGATTTTTTTTTTCCAAAATTTTCAAACAAACAAGTTTTTAAATTTTTTTCTCAAAAATTGTCTCAAGAAACAAATCAAAATTATTTTACATTCCCAAAATTTTAAACTTTACAAAATAATTAGAAGGTAAAAATTGAACACCTTATTGAAAATGATTTTTGGGTGCATTTGGTTTTAAAATCACCAAATCTAATACATAGTAAAATCCATGGACATGGAAAAACACATCATTAAATTGAAATCTATACTTTGGCACGATCCTCTATTTTATTTTGTTTGTGTCAATATAAATGTAATTATAATTTGAAAGGTTTTAAGTTGGAGATTGCAATATTTACGTGTGGTCCGAGTTAAGTTTAAGCATAAATTTTACCATATAAGAGTTAAATTCAGTGGACACGTTAATATTTTTCTACATTAAATTTTGAATATTTTTGTTGAAACTTAAATTTACTATTCAAGTACCACATACAACTTAAGTTACACTTTTTTGGATACGGCATTGCTACGTAGCTCGAAAATTAAATGGCTCGAATGGCTCGGAATCTCAAAACGACGTCGATCTATACTTTGGCACGATCCTCTATTTTATTTTGTTTGTGTCAATATAAATGTAATTATAATTTGAAAGGTTTTAAGTTGGAGATTGTAATATTTACGTGTGGTCCGAGTTAAGTTTAAGCATAAATTTTACCATAAAAGAGTTAAATTCAGTGGACACGTTAATATTTTTCTACATAAAATTTTGAATATTTTTGTTGAAACTTAAATTTACTATTCAAGTACCACATACAACTTAAGTTACACTTTTTTGGATATTGACTCCATCAAAGTCTCTTTTAGTCCAATATTCATAGTGAATGTTTGTTTCATTACAGGTGAGGTCTTTTGTAAAAAGCGCTATTCGACATCCCAGAGCTACATTTGCATCCTCAACTACATCTGCATTTGCGTCTACGTCTACGTCCACATTTGCATCCGCATCCAATGCAATTGTTCCATATAAATCTGAACAGGTGAGCCCATTGTTTTTAATTTTTAAGTTTTAATTTTTTAATTTTTTTTTAAAGTCACCTGAAGGAATTTAAAATGTAAACCGTTATTGTAAGTAAAACCAAGTATGTGTAGCTTGCTTTTTGTGCTCCTTGGAGGGGTTAGTCTCCGTGAATACGATAACCCTACAGTTCGGACTCCGTGATTCTGAATCTGGTTTCACAAGTGCAGTGTGAAACGTAAAAACACAAAAGAGTCCAGATACGGCAAATCCTTTGAAAATCAATTTATAATTAAAAATGTCAAAAATGGTTGCATTGTCAAATTTCAAAGTCACGACCTAAATATTTTTTAAAAATTTAAGAAACCCATGATTCATGCCAAAGGCCACTTGTCCGTCATCACTAAAGTGCCTCGGCTCGGGAACTTAAGTATGAGAGGGGAAAGTCATGAATTAAGCACCCCACTTATCCAATCAAAGATCGGCCTCTAATAATTATGATGTGATTTTTATTTACATTATATGCTTTTGTTCCGATTTATTAATGCTAACTTTGCTATGTGAAGTCAAGCAAATATAGACTATGTTGCTCAATTTGGAATGCTTTGATTTCATGCGAATTTCGAAAGAGTTTGAAATATGCAACTCGAAGAAAATGAGTGAGTTCGTATATACAATTATCATAATCATTTCAATTTAAGCAAAATAGTCTTCATCCACAGACATTTAAAGAGTTTTTTTCAAATAAGCACATAGCCTCATTGTAGTATGCTTGATATGGCAACACTCACATACATGCAATATACTAAAGCGAAAATGCTCACCTAGTACTCAACCGAAGCAAGCCAAAATATGAGAAAATAGTTAGAAAAATGCATGTTCTAATACGCAAGTGACTAATGCAACACATAGAAGATACAACTACTAGGTTCAGTTTTTTAAAATGACAGACGGATCAATTCAAAGCATGCGCTTAGCGCACATATTCAAGTAAGTAAGAAATGAAAACAATGTTAGAATGATGAACCGAACTTGATGCAAGCAAAAATGGATATAAGTCATGGTAATGGCATGAAACCAAGATATGATGCTATATGTAACCATCGCAAGCAACTAAATAAAAGGGAGCAAGAGTAGGGGTTGGAAGACATACACAATATTACAAGTTTGCCCTCATACAAGAGGGTTTGAATGTCCTACTTAAACTACTTATTACAACACCAAATTAACTAATTAAACTAGCTATTTACAAATAACTAACTTTAACTAGCTATTACAACTTTGAACAAATCTAATTAATTTAAACATACTACTGTTAAAGAATTAAATTAAAGGACCACAGGAAATGAAGCGTCGCACGCACACAAATTCCTTCCGGAAACCTCTCTATGTTTCGCTGCCAGAATCTGTTCTGTTTGCAGTCAGAAAATTAATCTATTTTTGCCCTAGCTTCTGCTCTGTTCTATCATGAAAATGACACTACTTGTGTAAAATTGGGTGGCCAATCGGCCTTGGAAAGTGGTCGGCCGGATGGAATGGTGGCCGGCCATCTACTATTTTGAGGTTTTGCCCTACTGCCACAGAAATGAAACAAAGCAAAAATAGAGTGTTTTCAGGGAATGTTTATCCTTTTTGCCTCTCCCTATCATGAAACTGATCAAGGGAGGAATAGACTCGATTCATAAACCATCAATTGTTGTAAGGTTGTTGCATGATGATCTATAAACCGATAGGACAAAGGCTCAATGAATGGAAATAAAAGACTAACAACACCTCCTCTCTATCATGGAGTTACCTCAAGGGAAGTGGTTGACATTACTTTTTGACCCATTAAACGTCACTATAGAGTATGCAATGAGTCAAGATGCAATAGGTTCAATTAACGTCCGATTGAACCTGATTTGATTTTATTACATCTTTTACCAATTCTAGTTGCATTTTATTTTCCATTTTCATTACCTTGCCATTCTTTATTCATTTTTGTCCACAAATGATAGTTATGTCCACTAAGTGAAGAGAAGTGTCAAACAAGAAGTTGTTCTTAGCATGAGAGAGATGTAACGCCTTGGTAATGAACCTCCGAAGAGATTAAACCATTAAGCATGAAAGGTCTTTTTCTCATGCCTTAAACAACAATCAATTGTTTGAAACAACTCTTAAACAAAGAGAAAGAAAATCAAGAAAGGAGGGAGGCTGCAGAGATGATTATTACAAGTGTGAGTATATGTATGAAAACTATGAAATGAAAGCTATCAACTCAAATAGATTGGTGTCTAAGGCCTAAACCACCAAACCTATGAGACCTTACAACAACACATGCATAATATGCGAAGCATAAACTAAATAAACACACTAAAACAATCCCAAAATTAATAAAAATAGTGCTTAAATTAACTTGGAAAACTAGAAAAAGTGAGCAAAAATGGAAGAGAATTAAAGCTAGTAAGCAAGCCAAAGGAAGGGTGGCTAACCCCTCCACTTTTTGGACATTAAAATCACATGTTTTAGCCTATGAAAACTCTAAAAATCAGTGGCTAAAAGTTAAGAAACAAATGGGAAACACAACGATACAAGCTAAAGAATAAGGTTGAAAGAAGGATGGTTAACTTCTCTACCTTTGGTCGCTTTTAAATCACAAGTTTTAGCCCACAAAACAATCCAAAGATAGTGTAAAAACAACAAGAAAAGAGAAGGAAGAAGTAGTGTAAAGATGGAAAAAGTTATACCTCTTAAAGAGGAGTTACTCTTTGGTTCACAAACCACCAAGTGATCACCCTCAAGAGCTAAAAATTTGGCTCAATAATCTCAGCAAGTAGCCTCAAATTTTTAGTTTAGAAAGTGTATGTATAGTGCATGTATATTGCAAGATAGAGAGGGATAGTGTTTGGCAAGTTTTGGAGACTTAGCAAAATTTTCTAATGTAAAATCAAGAGGGGTGGCTTTTATTTATAGAAAAACAGTTTTTCCTGTCGAAAATATCTGTATAGAGATAGCTAGTGCAAGGAATACACATAGGGGGGACAACTGGCTATAAATATCTGTCTGTCGGGACACCTGGCCGGCATGCCACTCTAATTGGCTAGATTTTTCATCAACTGGTCGGCCGATCACTTAATTGGTCGGCCAACTACTTATAGAAAAAAAAAATATGTTTTTAAGCCCGACTTCAAATAGGGCATATCTCCCTCATCTGGACTCGATTTTAGGTGCTTCTTGAGTCTAAATTGAAGCCCCAGAAGGTTGCTTTCTAATGGTGGTTGCATCATATCTAAATTCTAAGTGTACAAATAGATATGCCCAATTTAGTGAATGCTGTTCATTTCTTTCTTAACGGTTTGATGCTCAACCTTTTCCAAAACTAGTTTTATTCCAACCCCTCCTATTTTCTTCAAATCCAAACCTATAAATAAGATGTTTTTAAATATTTTTCAAAGAGTTCACATCCCTTTCATTTATTTCCACTTTGTCCTTATTCGATTTACCAAAAAGTGCAATATTTTAAATGAAATGCGAGCCTCAGAACATCGTACAAACATTTGAATTTTTTTCATTTAAAAAAGAGGGTTTTAAGGTCTAAAATAGTTTTGGTCAAAATGGGGTGTAAGATTGGGATTAGAAGCTCAAAAATCGAGGCCTTTTGCTGAAGAATTTGAATGTTTGTACAACATAACTTTTTATTAACAAGTGTTCAAAGTGAGACGTCTAAGTCTTAAGGACTGTAAAAAATGGGGTATCTATAGTATGGAATAGTGTTCTTGAGGTTGATCAACCCTAACTAGGGTTGAGATAATGTATTTATGTGTTTTAGAGATTTAGGAAAGTTAGACAAAAGTCAAATAGAAACAAATATACAATACTACCCTTAAATGTATAACTTGATTAAGAAATTGTAAGTTTGCTTCTTGAGCCACCAAGATACAGTATTAGCTCCAAGGAAAACACAATAACCTATATTAGAACGATAAGTATTTGGGCAACTAGCCCAATTCGCATCGATATAACATGTTAAAAAGAATTAGAAGTAGAAGTAGGAAGAACTCGCATGCCAACAATTATGGTGCTTTTGAGATAGCGTAAAAATTCACTTGGTTTCTTGAAGCTGACAAGTATGAGGTCAATGCATAAGTTGGCAGACTTGTTGATCCACATTGTTTATACTAGTCCTTAGGCCCTCATGGATCTCTCTATTTTTTTTGAAGATTGTGTTTGGATCTTAAATTTCAAAAGTGAATTGTGAAATGAAGAGAAAAGTAAAGAAAAAAATGAAGTTTTATTGAGAATGATTGTTAAAGAAAAAGATAAACTAATCCCAACTCGTTGACGGGTTTTTATTGGTTCATTTATAGAGCTCATTTGTCTAACACCAATGACAATCGATAATGCAATCGACTTTGACTTGAAAATTTCGGTCCATATGATTGATTGATAATTAGATAATGAGTATTGCTATTTAGACATAAAGGTCAAACTCTCAAGTTATTTATCTAATGTGACTAGCTTCTCTCCAGTCCTTTATTGGACTGGACAGGTATTGTCCAGCTCAGTGGGTCTATTTTATGGTCCCATCCGTTCATATTTTAGCATTCATCGAGAACATCATTTTTGCAAAAAAATCAAGTCGATTGGATAACAAAAACTACGTGTTCGGATCAGTTTTGTATATATATATATATATATGTATATGTAAACGACGTTAAGAAAATAAATAGTTCATAGAAAATTGATCCAAACACATTTTTTTCGTTTTTCAATCAACTTGATTTTTTACAAAAATGATATATTCGGCAAATTTTAAAATAAAAACAATTCAAATTATCAAAATAAAACCCAAAAACTAATCCAATAAGCTGAACTCAACAGTCTAATCTAATGAAGGACTGGAGTCCACTCCCGTCTCTTATCTAATTTTCTTTTTTAATGTTTCTAATGTTTTCAGAAAGAGTGGATGTGGCGGGTCACATTACTTGAGTCGGGACTCAATATGATTGGCGGTGCGGTTGGCAATGCGGCTGGTGCTATCGGTGGCGCTATGGCTATGGCTGGTAGCTGTAATATTATGTGAGCAACATCCACACCAATTTGCTCTTAATTTCCTCATTTTTATTACTATATGATTGTAAAACTTTATAATTAAAACTCCAAAGGAGATTAAGGTCTTGTTTACGATTTGTGTGCATGCATGTTAAGTTGTACAATGTATTAACTCTAGTGTTTGTTTAATTATCAGTTTGTGTACTTTTTTAAGTGTAAACATCTTTTAAATAGGGGTGTTCAAAAAAAATTGGTGAAATTGGAAAATTGGTCAAAGTCATCAATTCAGTATGGTTTTTATGAAAATAGTGGAACGGTTTAAATCGACCTGGTTCTCTATTCCAAACTGTGATTATGGTTCTGAACTGAACCATGACACATTTTATTATTATTTTTTTTATATGTTTATACATAAAATTAAAATATAAAAAATTTATTATTAGATTTGAACACTAATCTTTATTGTAAAATTTATAAATTCTAACCAACTTAACCAAACTAATTATTGTTAGTTTATTAGGTAAAGTATTAATAAATCCCAAGTTTAGATCTTGTTAACCATTTAGTCCTGCCTTTTATCTTTCAAACCAGTAAGTCCTATTTCAATGTTAATGACATATTTGTACACCATTCCAGCTCATGTTGCCCAACTATTAGGGGAGTATGTGGGTTTTGGTAATATGGAATTTACAAATCTGTCCTAAAAAATGTACTGTAGAGTTTTTTTGGTTTCCCTCCTACCTGATCAAAACTGAGGGACGAAGATGGAAGGTTTTGTGTTTCCAACGTTGATTCGATGGTTTCTCTCCATTTGTGCTATATTCAAATTTGGCGACGTTGAATCCACATTGTGACATTACCAATATAACATTTACATTCATCCGAAACCCTAGAAATACAAAAACCCTTTTTGGGCAGTACATTTCTGGAGTCGATCAGGAGTGGCACTAAAATGTTAGTCGTCGCAATTTACAAACGTGAAATCTTGCCGGTGATTCACAATCGACCTTTCACATTAGCCAACATTTGTGATGATGACCCCATGGTGTTAGGTACGATGTTTCTGATGTGGTTTTCATTGTTTTTGTGCAAATGTAATGGTATGTGATGATGGCATTTGTTTTGGTTTTTGGCCTTTATGGTGGTTATGTATTGTTAGCCACTTGGCTGAAATGTTGTTTTGCTTGAAAAATTGGTGGGGTTAATGCCATATTTTTTTTTTTGGAGGGGTGGGGTTTGGTTATACTAGTGTCCGTTGATATATTGGCATCAATTTGGTGTTTGTGCCACCATATGTGGTGCGTTGGTGTGTTTGTCAAGAATGCAATGTTAGTGTGGTATGTGGCATTGGTTGTGTTTTTTTGTTGTATTGGGGCACTGAGTCCCTTATTTTTATGTGTATGTGATTTGTAGGTAGTATGGACTGAATATGACATCGATTTCAGTCAAGGTATAACATTGTTGGTGTCCATGTTGAAAGATTTCAATGTCATTATAATGCATTGTTTGTGTCATTGTGTTTCAAACCAGTTAGGTCCCCTTATTTGATGAGTCTGTTTAGAATATTGTTGAATTGAAATGTAAATTACTTCCATGTTGGGTAGTGTGTGATGTTATCAGTATCCATGGTGGTCCACATTACCCTAAAATGATACATTGGGTGACATGATAACATGAGGGGTCTGTTACAGTGGAGTTTGTGGTTGTTTCAAAACGGTGGTTAGTGTTACTCGGTATTGTGTTTTTTCTTTCTTTTTAATTAAGTAGATTCCCTAATGTATGATGAATAGTCCAATTTTGTCTTCTTTGATTTTGTAAAATAGGCTCTATTTTTTGAGATGGTCTGTATTGTCTTCGAAAAGATGAATGCAACGAATTTTCACACCCTAAATTTCGTATTTAGAAGGTGGTTATGTTGTAGTGATTTTGTTAGATGCTTGTGTTTCATACGTAATTTATGCTATTTTTGTGAAAGTTGTGAAGTTATGAGCAGTTTAATCGTTATAATTGTATTGGACATGGTCCATATGTAATGGAATAGGCACCACAGTGCATGTTAAAGTTACATTTGTGAGTAATTATTTGTTGTTAACAGTTTCAGATTCTTCTTAATATTAAATTTGTAATTAGGATTTTGTTTTAAACTAGGTCGTGAAGTTGGTTTTCAAACATACAATGGATGCTGATGTGGTAATTGTAATAATTTTTCGTAGTTGTGTTAATACGCCACCAACATCCAATTAAATGTGCTAGTCAATGTTTGTGACATAAATGTGCTCATAATGTTGCCGTGGTCTGTGGCAAATGTTTGTTATAGATTTGTGTAATGGATACGTGGTATGTTAATGACTATTTATGTAACACACTAACGTTACGCCAGTAAATACATGTATGTATTGATTCAATAAAAACAATGGGTGGTCGACCACCATAATAGCTTTGTGAAACCAAGGTTGGTAGGAGACAATGTTTGGACCTAAAGTTTTGATAGCATGTTTTTTTCGGTTGGGGACTGCCTACAACAGGGCCTAGATTCTTAAGCATATTTGTTGTTTTGTTTTTTAATCAATTTCATTACATTGTAATGAGAGTAACATGGTCCATACCTGCTTCTTTGTAGGTAGAACTATGCGATTTTTGTATGTTTCATCATCCGCCAATACACACACGGAGTTGAGGTTGACAACATGATGGACGGACTGACGCCATCTGTTCTGCGTGGGGCGATGTTGAAAATGTTCCTGAACGACCCAACCTGGGGTCTGCATGCGAGGACAGTGTAAAATGATTGTCAGCACCTAATCCCCCCCACCCCTCACAAATTTGACTTTTTTTTTTAGTGAACTTTATATTCATTTCTTGACGTGGCTGAATGTTGTGGTTGTTAGTGGTTTACGACAAGTTATGTATAGTTTAATTAGGTGAATAATGGTTTGGTTTGTGTTGGACAATTTAATGTGTTATTAAACATTAACGTTATAATGCAACAAGAAAGGAAATTATTATCGGTTTTTGACCATTGTCATTATGTTGGAATGCTTGATTGTTGTTTAATCTCGTATGACATATATGTGGTTGATAAATTATTTATCGTTGTAACGGGAAGATGGCGGTGTTTTATTGTTTTTGTCAGTATGTTGTAACTAGATTATGCAAATCTGAGAGGGATTTGAAAGGAACTCACTAGGCATGCTTTTGTGGTTGTTCTATTACGTTGTGATACAAAGGAATTCCGTACATGCTAGTAGGTGCATTTATGCATCTAAGCTCAAGAAATGATTTAGTGTGTATGTTGTACTTGCCTAACCCCTTTTCCCCTATATGTGGGCATGATTACATTGCTACCAAACATGATAGAATTAAACGGGAAGTCATTGTTTGCTATCCACTGCCCGACATTGATTTCATTAAAATGATGTGACAGAACATCCAATTCTCATAACAAACGTTAACTCGTTGTTCCCAAAACCCATCCCTTCCACATGGATTTGAACAAAATGATGTCATACACATGCTAGTATGCTTTGAATGTAACGGCCATTGGCCAGAACGTTTGGTAACATAACCCAACAGCACATCAAAAATAAATTAAGTGCTGTCATTTTTCACATCCCAAATGACACGTTGACATGCACTCATAATGTACCACAAACTGGGTTTCCAAAATACATACATTTGGCACCCAAAAAGATTTGTTTTCTTTTTTGTTCACATAACTGATGACACAAATGGCATAATGAACTACTAAGCACATCGATAAATTCTAAAAAATTCAAACCGCTCGTATCACATATTCAACAATGAATACCCCACACACTAAGCAAACATATTAAAAATATATAAAAACGTCAAAAACTTCTACTATAAAATCCCGTAAACTGTATTCAGTAACGTATACCCCACAAATTGAGCAAACATATTAAAAATACGTATAAATGTCATAAACTTCTACTAGACTTAACTCGAGCAATGTTGTTGCATGGAGCAAATAGTGTGAATGTGAGTGGCACATTAAAATATGTGATGATCGGTGGTAGGAGCTCCGATTGTGCTGAATATGCCCGTTAACCAGATGTGTCGATGCGTTACATCGGTTCCTGTCATGTTTTCCTATTATGGTTCCCCATTTTGCTACAACATCCACAAAGAATGCAGAGCACCACCTCACCCTTTGATAGAATCCTCTTCCATGTGGACCTCTCGAGTGGCCACTTAAGAATAGGCAGCGCAATGAGGTAATCTGCCACTGTGAACTTAGGTTTTCCAACAGTAGGAATTGTGTGAATAGCCCTAGAATACGCTGCACTAAACTCCTTAACATGGTAAAATGATTCAATGTAATTGTATATATTTCTGCCACTATTTCGAAATACAATAACCACGTCGAGACATGAGAACCCATTATATTGCCACTGAAAACACGAACATGTACATGCACCAACGTCGACCAAAACAGATGGGTGCGAACGAACCTCATACACATTTTCGTTGGCTTGACTAACAATCCACAATCCACTCATTTTAAACGTCGAGTTCAACTTCTTTTCCATCTTCGGGCAAAGCTCCCCAAACCATAACGTTACACTACCAGAATTACCACCACAAAATTACACACATTTGTTCCATGAAATGACATAGCACAAACCAAATGCATACATCAAACTAACATCATGAAAACAAATGGTAACGTAGCATTAACAACGATGAGCAATTGCACACTGACACGCCCCTAAAATGAAACTTCAACCAAACAAAATGACCAACAATAGATACCATATAAAACTCACCTTCAACTCTGAAGAGGAAGTTTGGGCTGCAATTAAGGACTGTGATGGAAACAAAGCCCCAGGTCCGGATGGCTTTAACCTGTCTTGTTTCCAAAAATGCTGGAATTTTATGAAACATGACATTTTAAACTTCATGAAAGAATTTCATGAGAATAGTACTTTGGCCAGGGGTCTTAATTGCTCATTTGTGAGTCTTATCCCCAAAAAGGATAATCATGTATCTCTGTTTGACTTCAGGCCCATCAGCTTGATTAGTTCCATATACAAAATCCTTTCCAAGGTACTATCCATGAGACTGAAGCTTGTTTTGCCTAACATTGTGAATGAAGCACAATCTGCATTCATTGGAGGTAGAAATATAATGGATGGAGTGCTCATTGCCAATGAGATTGTAGATTGGTGGAAAAAATCAAATAAGCAAGGGGT